CCGCGATGGAGCGGTCCAGCGGGTTTGTAGAGGAGGCCGCCAGGTTAAGGGGGCCACTGGTCACAGAGGAGAGGGAGAGTGTAGAGGCACGGCGAGAGGTACTGGGGTGTGTTACCAGTCCGGTCCGGCCCGTTCCTGATCCCTGCATAGGGCCAGTGGTGTGTGTCCCCAGTACGGTCCGGCCTGTTCCTGTTCCTCGCATCGAGCCTGTGGTGCGTGTCGTCAGCCCGGCCCGGCCTGTTCCTGCTCCCCGCACCAAGCCTATGGTGCGCGTCGCCAGCCCGGCCCGGCCTGTTCCTGCTCCCCGCACCAAGCCTATGGTGCGCGTCGCCAGCCCGGTCAGGCCTGTTCCTGCTCCCCGCACCGAGCCTATGGTGCGCGTCGCCAGCCCGGCCCGGCCTGTTCCTGCTCCCCGCACCGAGCCTATGGTGCGCGTCGCCAGCCCGGTCCGGCCTGTTCCTGCTCCCCGCACCAAGCCTATGGTGCGCGTCGCCAGCCCGGTCCGGCCTGTTCCTGCTCCCCGCACCAAGTCAGTGGTGCGCGTCGCCAGCCCGGCCCGGTCCATTCCTGCTCTCCGCACCAAGTCAGTGGTGCGCTTCGTCAGGCCGGCTCGGCCTGTTCCTGCTCCCCACACCAAGCCAGTGGTGTGCGTCGTCAGTCCGACACGGCCCGTGCCTGTTGCACCGGTGCCTGGTCCGGTACCGGTCAGCTGCTCCACGTCGGAGCTAGAGCAATCCGCTCCACCAGTGTTCAGTCCAGCTCCGGCCAGCAGGGCCAGACCGGACCAGGGGTACTGTGGGGGGTTAGAGAGGGAGTGGGGATCATGCCCAGAGCCAGATCCGCCGCCAAGGCGGAGTGCCCACCCGGTCCCTCCCCTGTGGTGTTCTGTTGGCGCGGTCGGAGTCCGCGCCTTTGGGGGGGGGTACTGTCACGCCCTGGCTCTAGGGACTCTTTTATGTTGAGCCAGGGTGTGTAGAGTCTATGTTTTGTGCTCTTTGTTTTCCATTCTAGGTCTTGTATTTCTATGTTGGCCAGAGTGGTTCCCAATCAGAGGCAACGAGTGTCAGCTGTTGCTGGTTGTCTCTGATTGGGAACCATATTTAAACAGTCTGTTTTCCCTCAGTGTTTGTGGGATCTTGTTCCGTGTTCCTAGTAGGTTGTGTTTGAGCTAAGGACGTCACGTTATCGTTTTGTTGTTTTGTTCGTGTTATCTTTCAGATTTAATAAATATGTTTGCATTCAACGCTGCGCATTGGTCCTCTGTTCCCGACGATCGTGACATCAACTCTATTCAATACCTCCCATCTATCTCTTAACACCATCCATATAGGATTTCTATTTGCCATATATATTTCAACCGTACTGTGATGTTTTACAAAAGTTCTGAACCTTTCTATTCTCATTGCTTCTACAGATTGTGAATTAAAAATAAACATTTTTGCTAAAAGTATTATTATATTATTGATTGATTGACTATGACTTTTCAGATCACCCAGTAATGCTATCTGCAAGGTTAGCTCCAGGTAAATATTGCAATCCTTTAGCCATTCCTGGACCTGTGTCCAAAAACAAGCTACAAATGGACAGAACCAAAACAAATGATCTAATGATTCTGTCTCTTCACAGCAAAATCTGCAGAGCTGGGAAGATTGTATCCCCCATATAAATAACATTCTATTGGTAGCAAGAATTTTATATAATAATTTAAATTGAAAGATTCTAATTTTTGAATCCGGTGTCGTTTTGCGTGTCAGTTCATAAACACTATGTCATGGGATCGGTACGTCAAAGATCTCTTCCCAACTATTTTGCAATCTATATGGGACGGCTGTCAATCCTTTGGTCCTTAAGTGAAACTGATATACTTTTTTATTTATCACAGTTTTCCTTAACCAATTATGTTCTTTAATGCAAGGCCGACAGACAAGTTCCTTACTTTCTCCCCCTTCCACTTTCCTCTTCCACTTTTGCGGTAAGGCTGCAATTATTTGGTTGTAATTTTGGGTAGAGCAGACATTTCCATATGTTTTTGTTAGCTGCATGTGCGACATAACTCCACCAGTCCTACCGATGATATCATTTACGAAGATTATACCTTTTTTAAACATTCTGTCAAAAAATAAAGGTTTTTTGTCAATTAGTATATTTGAATTTAACCACAATATTTGTTGCATTATTTGTTCTGTCGTTTCTGGAGGATTAAATTGAAATTGCAACCAACTTTCTATGGCTTGTTTTAGAAATAGTGATATTTGGGAGATTATTTCCTTTTCAAATAACTGAAAGTGAGAGGTTGTAATCTGAATAAAGGGAAAAAGGCCTTTCTTGAACATTGGGTGAGACAATCTTACTAATTTGCTTGAGAACCAGTTCGGATTTAAGTATAACTTTTGTATGACTGAAGCTTTTAGTGATAGGTCTAATGCTTTAATATTTAATAATTTCTGTCCTCCGAATTCATATTCATTATATAAATATGCCCTTTTAATTTTGTCTGGCTTGCCGTTCCAAATAAAATTGAATATTTTTTTCTCATATAATTTAAAAAACTGTTCGCTAGGCGTAGGCAAGACCATAAGCAAATAGGTAAACTGGGATAATACTAAAGAGTTAATCAGGGTGATTTTTCCACAAATTGACAGGTATTTTCCTTTCCATGGTAGTAAGATCTTATCTATTTTTGCTAACTTTCTATTAAAATGTATTGAAGTGAGATCATTTATTTCCTTTGGGATATGTATTCCGAGTATATCCACATCACCATCAGACCAATGCAGCCATACCTTACAGGATCCATAATTCATTGACAAAATGCGTGCCCCCTCCTCGTACTACTTAATCAAAAGGAGGTTTTGGCTGGCCGGCACAGCATTGTCATTTATTGAAAAGGAAAAGGTCAGACAGATGCATCCACATTGCTCACGCCTGTTCTGCTCTGTTCTGCAATCAGTGTCAACAGTGCCACCATGTGTCATCCTAAGGGGCACAAGCTGGGAATATATATATATATATATAATATATATATATATATTCTGCCTTGATTGCTTAGCATGGCTCATATATATGAGAACAGGAACTCAAATTGAGGGGGAATGTTCACATAAGATGTTCACAATTAAGTTGATTTATCTTATGCACTAAACTATCCCCTTTCAATAATGCCAGAAACATGCTCCGATTATTTACAGCCAGTGGTCATAAGGCAATCCATTAGTATTTCTCTTTTAATGGGAGTTTATTTTTTCAGTCTGACAGGTCATGATATAGAGTGTGTCGAAGTGATAGACCCCATGAGACCCCTCTCCTTGTCGTATGAATCATCCTGAGCTCTTCAGAAAGGTTAATCCAAACACAACCTAATTTCATCCACTATAAATATACCAGCAGCGACCATTCATACAGTACAGTCATAATAACATCACAATAACAACAGCTTTCCAAGGAAACAGGTCTGAAAAAAACACCTGTTGATTGCTATTGCTGGATTTCATTGCAGACTCATATAATTGCAAAAAGATCAATGCCAATATGCAATATACATGCACAATATTCAGCAACAACCTTTAAAATCACTGACATCATCTGATATCAACATGTCTTCTTACCTTTTGTGTCAACTGGGAGTGAGATGATGTCTGTCTTTTGGATGCCCACTTTTCATGAAAGATGTCCTTTTCCCTTCTATTCCTCTTCCCTCCCTTTTGTCTTGCCTCTGCAGAATGTGGCGTAGAGGAAATGCCAGCTGTCACAGGTGGGCAGAGAAACTATTAATTAAATGGCTCTGGCTTTTCACAGAGGGACTAAACAAATCAGAGAAGGACAGTTGACAGGCAGCAACCGTGGCAGCAATTCAGTCAGCACAGCAACATGTGGTTATAAAAAGTATCTCTCAGCTCAGTCGCTGTCCTCCCTCCTTGTGGCAGGAGTTAGAGGCTTTCGCTAATGGAGAGTGAGAGAGACTCAGAGAGAGAGAGAGAAAGAGAGAGACAGACAGAGACAGTCCTTTGCAACAGCTTAGCATCCCCTTCCCCTACTACCTATCCTCTCTGCATTTATAGCATCTGCACCACCCACTCTCCTTCCCTGCAATCGATGATGAGAGACCCCATTTATGTATCCTTTTTGATAGCTGGGGGATCAGACTAAATAGATGAAATGCAGCACCGGGGTTGGGCGTGGTGGTGGTGGTGGAGGTGGAGGTGGACAGATTGACATAAAGCATGTCTCTCTTGCCTCCACCCAGGGCAGGCATCAACCTTCCCCCTCACCATCACTTACAAGTGCCCTGTCTCTGGTTTAATGCAAAGCCTATAATGTTTTGATTCTAATATGGGTAGTGGGAGTTTGGCTGTCTGCATTGTGGCCACTGTTAGTCTGATCTACCTGTTATATTTTTCCACTGAGGAGGTAACCATGACAATCGATATAGAGTTCTACTGGCATCTTAAAATTCATTTTGGTCGATGTGAGGGGAGGGTGGTGTGGTTGGAGGGTATTGGCTGAAGCTGCATCCGCTCCTCAATTAAATTAGCATAATGCTGGCCATAAACCCCATATCCCTCTTTCTCTCTTAATCTCTGTTTGTGTGTGTGAGAAAGAGAGAGAATGAATCCAAGAGTAATGTGGAATGTCAGGTCTCTACCTGGCTGGGTCACTTTCATTAGTACCGATCAGGACAGCCATAATCTCTTCTCCTCCTCCTCAATGTGTCTGTCCGGATGACGAATCAAAAAGAATAAACCATATCAAATTAGCTAAAAATGACATATCCTTTATAGCTGTAATAAATTGACGATTAATAAACAATAGTTTAAACTAACAAGTAAAAAATAGCCAAACCTGCTTATCTGATAAAGATTGTATTATTCCAATATAGCCTGTGGTATTGCACATTTTAAAACACCCACACAAACACATTTGGGAGTAAAACAAAGTTGATTGGAACTCAATTCCACTTCCGAGTTTCCATCGGAAAGAGTGCAGCTGATCTAGCTACAGCTGGTGCTCTTCAACGGTAGTTTATTTGGCTTGGCAGGCAGCATCCCTTTCGACGCTCAGCTTGATTTCATCGTTTGTGTAGCTAAAACTTCTGAAACTTGCTCTAAAATAATATACATTAAAGGTTAATAATGGCTACTGACTCCTGGGCCCTTGCTGTCGATAAACAGGAAGCTACGACTGACTCAGTAAGTTTAAATGTATAGGCTAGCAAGTTTAGCTAGCTTGGTACCATTAGCTAGATAGCTATATTTTCAGCTATGCATTACGAAAAGCATCAAACTTTATGCTGCTAGCTAGCAAGCTTGCTAGAGCAGCCAACTGCAACTGAGGCAATTTGTGGCTGAGCAGACAAACCACTGAAGTTATTACTTTAGCATACCATGTGCTGGTGGTGCACTTACTGACACACCTTTTGAAAGCACTGCCATTGACTAGCTGTATTTGTCATGGCTTTGTTGTTGGTAGAATTGGACACTTGTTTGCCAATATTTTATGAGGGAAAACTTTCATTCTGAGACTAGATATTTGCGTACTAATAAAATATTTTTGTTTCTCTTACAGTTCGGCTCCTTGGTGATAAGATCTCCACCTCGAGGTGGAGGTGATGCTGCACCTAGTAAGGCAAAAAAGGGTAAAATCACTTATTTGCACTTTATATTCTTCCATGTATTGTCCATTACATTTTTGTGATAAATGGTGTGATGAGTTTTTGTTTTTCTGCCAGGTACCACAAAGCAAGTGGAGAATGGCACCAATGTGGAAGGGGAAGAAAAGGGTGTGAATTTTCAGGGTTTATTCTGATCTCCCTATCATGTCTCCATTCAATTAGTGTACTCGGACAGGTCATTCACCTATCACTCTTGTCTTGTAGAGGACAAAGCGGCCCAGTCGTTGTTGAATAAGATGATCCATACCAGCCTTGTGAACACTACCAATCAAGTAGAGGTTCTTCAGAGGGATCCCAACTCTCCTCTTTACTCGGTCAAGACATTTGAAGAGCTGAGACTGTAAGTGATATCAGATTTCAAATTCACCATTGCTTACTAGTTTAATGTGTATACCTCACTTGAAACCTAGATTATACGGTGTATTTCAACCTGAGTTAGGATCCACAACATCACTTTTTTTGTGGTATCATGTGTGGCGTTGTATGTTCAACCTGTTAGGTCAGCCTTTTATTATATGTTGTCTTTTTCATGGCCTCAATGCTTTTTTATTGTACTTCCGTCTCAGGAAAGACAAGCTGCTAAAGGGAGTGTATGACATGGGCTTCAACAGACCCTCTAAAATCCAAGAGAATGCCCTGCCCATGATGCTGGCAGAGCCGTGAGTACCCATTTATCAATAACAGAGGAAATAGCCTAGATATTATGGACATTTGAAGGTGTTGTTGTGATGTGTGTTCTGAGATTACACATTTAATTTAAACTTTCAGTCAGATCTAGTCAAACTAGTTATTAACCATTGTTTATGTACGCAGCAATATAGTTGTTTGATTGAATTTTTGATGTGAAATGAATGGAATCTACCTTTTTAGTCCCCCATTAATCTCTCTTTAGCGTGTATTATCCCTCTGGTTCCAGACCTCAGAACCTGATTGCTCAATCACAGTCCGGCACAGGTAAAACGGCTGCCTTCACGCTGGCTATGCTCAGCCATGTTGACCCAGCTAACAAATGGACACAGGTGAGTGGCATCTCCATCTTCAGCAATGCTATGGATCCATTAGCATTACTCAGGCTATGATCTTGAGCTTAGCTTTAAGAGGTTAGACCTCAGAGGTCAGGTAATCAGCAAGTTCGGAAAGAGTTTGCTCTTTAGGTGGATTTATATTGGTTTGTTTTATTAAGAGCATCTGCAGATCAGGGTTGCAGGAAAGTGTCTTAGTTTAGAGAACATCTATCACAGTGTGTTGCTTTTTTTGTTTGTTGATTTTGTAGATAGAAGCCTCTTATTACTGAAACACCTTATTTTGCATCCTCAGTGTCTTTGCATTGCCCCAACGTACGAGTTAGCTTTGCAGACTGGTAAAGTCATTGAGCAGATGGGAAAATTCTATCCTGAGGTCAAATTGGCATATGCCATTCGTGGCAATAAATGTAAGTCTCAAAACATTCATGTTTTTTTATTCTGAATACAACCTGTAATGTTTGGGTGCCTCATTTCACTGGGGAAATGGTAGGCCTATGCTGTCACTGCTCTCACCCAAATTTCATGTCGAAAGCATAACTGTCAATGGAGCGAATGCCACACGTGTATTATAGAGTTGATGTTCTGTAAATAAAAGATGCTGATGAGAAGCATCATTGTAACAATATCATGAACTGTCCTGTTTGTCTCCGGGTGCTGAGCAGTGGACCGAGGGGCGAAGCTTCAGGAGCAGATCGTCATCGGGACACCTGGCACGGTCTTGGACTGGTGCTCTAAACTGAAGATCATCGACCCCAAGAAGATCAGCGTCTTTGTCCTGGATGAGGCTGATGTCATGATCGCCACACAGGGTCACCAGGACCAGAGCATCCGGATCCAAAGGTGAGTTTTCCATATAGAAAGTTGTAAATGTACAGTACTCTCATCTAGCAGAACTGAAGTGATATGAATGTGATACGAGACAAGCTCGTCTTGCAGGCCAGTAATCACGAGTGCTGCCATTAACTTTGTTTACAGACACCTGTAAAAGGGCTCCTAATGACCGTTGATGGTTTTCAGATGCTATTAGACTCAATAACAGCGTAACAGTCTATTAGTTATCTAAGGACATTTCCCTCCCCCATTCAGAATGTTGCCCAAGGAATGTCAGATGCTGCTGTTCTCGGCCACGTTTGAGGACTCTGTGTGGAAGTTTGCTGAGAGGGTTGTGCCAGACCCCAACATCATCAAGCTGAAACGTGAAGAGGAGACTCTGGACACCATCAAGCAGTATTATGTGCTTTGCAGCGACAAGGAGGAAAAGTTCACAGCACTCTGTAATATCTACGGCGCCATCACCATCGCCCAAGCTATGATCTTCTGTCACGTGAGTGTCCTCAACTTATCCTAGGAACGAAGGAATTCTCTGAGGGAGTTGGGTTGATATGATAAATAAACGAATAAAGTAAAGAAATAAAAATAGGCTTTTTTGGCTCTGTAGACCCGAAGGACAGCTGGCTGGCTGGCTGCAGAGCTGACCAAGGAGGGCCATGTGGTGGCACTGCTGAGTGGGGAGATGACTGTGGAACAGAGAGCGGCAGTCATCGAACGCTTCAGGGAGGGCAAGGAGAAAGTCCTGGTGACAACAAACGTATGCTCCAGAGGTATAAAGACTGTCAATGAAAGCTAAATTGTTACCATTTATCCTAAGTAGGAGAGTGGGGAAGAGTGTTTTTTTATTTTATTTTTTTACATTGAATAGGCCTAAGGACATGTTATTCTCTTTCTATTGATAGGCATTGATGTTGAGCAAGTTTCTGTGGTGATAAATTTTGACCTGCCCATGGACAAAGACGGAAACGCTGACAACGAGACATACCTTCACCGGATTGGTCGCACAGGACGTTTCGGCAAGAGGGGGCTTGCAGTCAATATGATTGACAGCAAACACAGCATGAACATTCTCAACCAAATCGAGGAACATTTCAGTATGTCACTGTTTCTAGAAGTCTTCACAAGATTGTACATTTTGATCTATAAGACAACGTTCTAATAATTAACTTTTCATCTATTTTTTTCCATAGATAAGAAGATCAACAAACTTGACACTGATGATCTCGATGAAATCGAGAAAATCAGCAACTAAAGATGCTGCTAACCTTGATCACTAATCATTTAATACATCTATTTATGCAGTTTGGACTGTTAACTCACATTTGTGCTTTTGGACTTGTCACTTAAAGATTTATTTGAATGTTTACATGAAATGACAGATGTTAGCCATGGCTCAAATACAAAGCATCTTAGCATTTTCAGGACAATAGTTCATGCCAAATAGAGGTCATGACTAGAAGGGATGCAGCTTTTTTCAAATTAACGTCAAAAGTTGACATTTTTTGAATTTTAGCTAACCCTAGCCCTTTTCCTGACCTTAACCTAATTATCCTAACCTGCTGCCTATGTTCTCCTAACCTGCTACGAAAAGTCAAATCTGACAAAAGCTGGATCCCTTCTCTTTGATACTCTTAGCATTACGGTTGGTGTTCAGTTGCTATATTTTTTATTGAGTGGTTGCACTAAACTAATATTTTACTCTCTAGATCTTGAGGTCTCTCTCCTCAGAGGCATGTATAGGTAGCCATTGGTTGTTGGTAGCAATATACGGTATATTGAATCAAACAAAACTTTGCAATAGTTCGAATAATGGGGAAGTTTGCTGTGCTGATTGGTCTTAAAACCCCTTTTCTTATAGAATAATACGAGTGGAAGGTAATGTGATTTAAAGTTGAGCAAATGGGAAGTAGTAACCAAACTGGAGAAATGTCCATTCCTTATTAATGAGAGGGCAACTCATGATCAATCTAGACTAACAATCCTCAAGTGATATACAGCATTTCAGGATCATAACACTAAATGTCCTCTTGATAGTTTAGATGTGTGTTTCACGATAATCCAAATATTCCATTGTATTAATACTGCGAGTATTGGAGGGGTTGCTCCATATTTAATTTTTTCCCCGATAGGGTTCTGCAAATCTATGGCGGGAGGTTGTTTCGTGGAAACAAGTTTTGTTCAGTCACATTCAATTAGCTTGAAATTGACATGAAGGTTTGTATCAATTGGTTAATATTTTTCTTAAACTATTGGCAAGCTTATTCTGTCAACTGACAGAAGTTGGTCACTTTTACCAAGTAAAATAAATTGTTAGGAATAAATAATATATTTATTTCAAGAGGAAAAGCTTTTGTACCTCAGTGAATATTATTTATATTATTTATATTTGGACTGTGCTTGAACTAAACAAGAGTTTAGAGTGTTTACCTTGGCTATGAAAGCTAAAATAGCCTCTGCTGAATCTATTCTCTTATACTTTCTGCACTTTTTTGGTTTTGTCATTTCTAAATGGTGGTTGTAATAAAGACTACTTAAAGTATGTCTGTCTGGGCTTATTCTGTGGCACAGTGGCTGTGAGAAAAGGCTAGTTTTGTTTTACCTTAAATGCAAAACACCTTCCTAAGCTCCTCTTTCCAATGGAAACAAGCACTCTAGTAAAAACATATGGCTTTCGTGTTAATACACTGCTCAAAAAAATAAAGGGAACACTTAAACAACACAATGTAACTCCAAGTCAATCACACTTCTGTGAAATCAAACTATCCACTTAGGAAGCAACACTGATTGACAAATTTCACATGCTGTTGTGCAAATAGAATAGACAACAGGTGGAAATTATAGGCAATTAGCAAGACACCCCCAATAAAGAAGTGGTTCTGCAGGTGGTGACCACAGACCACATCTCAGTTCCTATGCTTCCTGGCTGATGTTTTGGTCACTTTTGAATGCTGGCGGTGCTTTCACTCTAGTGGTAGCATGAGACGGAGTCTACAACCCACACAAGTGGCTCAGGTAGTGCAGCTCATCCAGGATGGCACATCAATGCGAGCTGTGGCAAGAAGGTTTGCTGTGTCTGTCAGCGTAGTGTCCAGAGCATGGAGGCGCCTCCAGGAGACAGGCCAGTACATCAGGAGACGTGGAGGAGGCCGTAGGAGGGCAACAACCCAGCAGCAGGACTGCTACCTCCGCCTTTGTGCAAGGAGGAGCAGGGGGAGCACTGCCAGAGCCCTGCAAAATGACCTCCAGCAGGCCACAAATGTGCATGTGTCTGCTCAAACGGTCAGAAACAGACTCCATGAGGGTGGTATGAGGGCCCGACATCCACAGGTGGGGGTTGTGCTTACAGCCCAACACCGTGCAGGACGTTTGGCATTTGCCAGAGAACACCAAGATTGGCAAATTCGCCACTGGCGCCCTGTGCTCTTCACAGATGAAAGCAGGTTCACACTGAGCACATGTGACAGACTTGACAGAGTCTGGAGACGCCGTGGAGAACGTTCTGCTGCCTGCAACATCCTCCAGCATGACCAGTTTGGCGGTGGGTCAGTCATGGTGTGGGGTGGCATTTCTTTGGGGGGCAGCACAGCCCTCCATGTGCTCGCCAGAGGTAGCCTGACTGCCATTAGGTACCGAGATGAGATCCTCAGACCCCTTGTGAGACCATATGCTGGTGCGGTTGGCCCTGGGTTCCTCCTAATGCAAGACAATGCTAGACCTCATGTGGCTGGAGTGTGTCAGCAGTTCCTGCAAGAGGAAGGCATTAATGCTATGGACTGGCCCGCCCGTTCCCCAGACCTGAATCCAATTGAGCACATCTGGGACATCATGTCTCGCTCCATCCACCAACGCCACGTTGCACCACAGACTGTCCAGGAGTTGGCGGATGCTTTAGTCCAGGTCTGGGAGGAGATCCCTCAGGAAACCATCCGCCACCTCATCAGGAGCATGCCCAGGTGTTGTAGGGAGGTCATACATGCACGTGGAGGCCACACACACTATTGAGCCTCAATTTGACTTGTTTTAAGGACATTACATCAAAGTTGGATCAGCCTGTAGTGTGGTTTTCCACTTTAATTTTGAGGGTGACTCCAAATCCAGACCTCCATGGGTTGATACATTTGATTTCCATTGATAATTTTTGTGTGATTTTGTTGTCAGCACATTCAACTATGTAAAGAAAAAAGTATTTAATAAGATTATTTCATTCATTCAGATCTAGGATGTGTTATTTTAGTGTTCCCTTTATTTTTTTGAGCAGTGTATAATATATAGGCCTATTTGTCAGATAACTTTAATGTTGGTTGTTATACTGTGTCATCCATCTTGAGTTCAGGCAGAGTCCATATCCTCCTGAAAGACCCACAATACTGATCTATTTAAGATGCCACATTGGGCCAAAGTCATGTTCAGGTCTGTGAATGTCCTTCGGAGGGGTCTATCCACACCACTCTTGACGTAGCCATCCACGATCACAATGTAACCATGCTCATATCTGGCCCAATATCTGGCCTCTGCACTGGCTAGCACCTTCAGTAGGGTGTCTGTGGGTAGGAAGTGGTGCTCAAACCTCCTCCCACATGGGGCCCGGATGGCAAGGAGTAAGCTCATAGGATCAGGAGTGCCAGGGGAGAATACTGGAGGGCTTTCTGTCTCTGGGGCGTGGCCATCACGCTGAGGTCCGGAGGGTAGGGAGTGGGGCAGACCTTGCAAAGCACCTCTGACACGTTGCCTATCTCCAGGTTGCTCTGGGATACGGCTCGGGTCCTCACTGAGGACAGCTGATGCTCCCCGTGCCCTCGCCGAGTATGGACGATGAGGCTGTCGGACAGACTGAGCTTGGATGTCTTCTCCTCCATGCCCCTAAAAGAGACACCCTCCTCTGACAGCTTCTTCTCAATGGAGGGGAGGGGCTTGTATTTGTTCCAAGGGAAGGGAAGATAGGGTACCTCAGAAACAGTATCTAGGTAGTCTGGGACTTCTTCCACGCTCAGCTGGCTGCTCTGCCTGAAGAGGGATTGACAGCGGGAGCGGAGGCAGCGATCTGACCTGTCGTAGCCCATTGAAGGAGGCTTTGGGATCAGTGGTGTGTCTTGGTAGCTGTCAGCCACATCCATGTTTGGGGTGTAGCTCAGGTTGGGTCGACTACGCCCTTTCGAGGACTTTGGCCTGGTCAAATGCATTCTTCTCCACAGCAGTATAATGTTTTAGATGTGACTCAACTCTAAAAGATGGGAGATGGGCAATTAAGAACTGAAATATACATGTAATAGCTATTCTGAGACATTCTCTGTCTCCTCATAGTCACACTGTGAATGGCATTCTTGCATAGAGCCACTGGGCGTGCAGGCTTTTGTTACATCCCTGCTGAAAGTTCTAACATTACTGTCTGCTCATCAGGGTTGGAGCAAAAGTCTTCATGCCCAGTAGCTGTTCAGGAGGAAACTGGCCAGCTTGAAAGCTTAACGTTACTAATCTTGACATGCCAATGAGAGAAAATGTATTGCATTTCATTTCCTTGTTGACCAGTTAACATTAGCAAATTAACGTTAGCTAGCTAAGCTGTCCGATCCAAGTAGGTGACAAAGACAAAGAGACATACTTGCCACTAGAATTACATATAGTGCACGATAAGAATACTAAAAAACTAACTCTGCAGCATACCTTGCATTTTAGCTGATAGATCAGTCTCGTTTTTGCTTGTCAACACTCGAGGGAAGTTTTCAAGCATTTTCAGTAGGCATCGTCACTAAAGTTACGGACACAGCTATCGTTACCTTGACAACGCTGCTTGCCTCGCACATCAACAGGTGCCTTCTGGTGCAAGTCAAGGATCGTGAAGCATCAGTAGTATCTATTCCATTTCTAATCACACTGCTCCAGACTAGGGTTGCAACATTTCAGAAACGTTCAATAAATTACCTGGTTTTCCGGAAATCCTGGTTGGAGGATTTCTGATTATTCCCTCCTGATTTCGGGATTCCTCCAACCGAGACTTTAGGAATACCAGGGAATTTATTGAAAGTTCCTGTAATTTTGCAACTGTACCCCAGATAGAATTGTTTGGCATTATGCAAGAACTGTAATTGGAACATTGCACCAGATTTAACAGTAATATCCATCTTCATTCTTAGGTTTTAAAACACCGTGACAAAATTATAAAGAAACATAAATCATTGCAGAAATAGACAATAAAGCCTAGGCTTATCAGGTCTCAGTGTTTAATTTATTACTTCATTCATAGTCAACAGAAAAAATGCAAAACTGTCAAATAAGTGGTTCATATTTTAAACAACAAACAAGGCAACAGTAAACATTTAGTGTAATTTTGTAAATGACAGATCTCTATGGCAAGACTCATCATTCACCCAAGTTTCCTCAAAATCGGGCCAGTGGTGTCTGATAGTGGTGCAGGGATCAGCTGTTTGTTCACATGTCCTGCACCTACCAGCAATTGCTATTAACCCATCCGCAACCGCTGACTATATGTGATACAGTGAAAATCTGAGGCCCACACCCGACCCTAACCAGCAAATATATAAAAATGCCC